TAGTTTTAAAACCCATGTAGGTGCACACCCACACACTATTAGGATGTTAGTAAGCTCATGCTACTACTCACCCAGTGATGCCAGCATGTCGTGGAGGTCCTCTTTGTCCACAAACCCATCACGGTTCTGGTCGATCATGTTGAAGGCCTCCTTGAACTCCTGAATCTGAGACTGGTCAAACATGGCGAAGACATTGGAAGTCGCGCGCTGAGGGCGCTTCTTCGTGGTCTTTCCCTTTGCTCTTTTGCTAGACATGTTGACTGTTTTTTTGTTTACCTGTGAGAATAAATATATAAATATTAGATTATGCATTCAGCAATTGTACTTTATTATTTAAGGAGGCGACCATAAATATCAGTATCATTTAAAAACACTATGGACATGTACATAGCAAAATGTAGCTATTCCATCGAGTCATCTTTTCTCTAGCAGTCAGAGAAAAGATGACTCGTTGGAAGACAAGCTCATGAAATGTTTTGTCCTGTTACTATATGAGTTTGCCTTTACAACGATTTGGCAGGGTGTTTAATTCTCTGGCAGCGATTCCCCAGTGCAGTGTCCTTCGCGGCGCTATAAATGGAAATGTTCACTTATCTTTCTATGTTGATCAGCTCACTGGCTTCACTGAGGGCAGGATAATTAGTGATGTGAGGACAAATGCCCTTATCAGGACATGTCTGAGATGAAGACTGAAACAGTCCTACATTTACATCTTTATGTTGACATAAGGAAAGTGGCTCGACCAGCTTGAACAGGAGTTGTATAAAGCCTTGCTTGGTATTATAATTAGATATTGACAATATAGTTAAATGGTTACAACTTCTCTATGAAACTAGTACGTTTTAAATATAAGGCTCCAGTAACGTTCAGTTATAGTTCTAAATGTCATAAAAATGTTCTCTGGAAGTTATCAATTGGCCTGCCAAAAAACACTTTATTTTGTGTATACATCTCCCATTACAAATTCAGAAAGCGACACTTTAGCAAAGAAAAGCAGAACATTCAAAAACCGGGGAGGATGACGACAGGAAATAAGCGTCAATTAGGCTTTTTAAAAAAAAAGCCTTTCCGAGTAAAGAAATAGTCAAAATGTTAATGTTTATATTTATTGCAAAGCACTCATTATCAGGTTATGAACACTGTACAAATACGGACTGGCTTGATCCCCCAAACATGAGCTAACGTTATGGTGACACGGTTTTAGTTTGTACTGCGCACTTGACAAACCGTACATTACAAAGTTTAACTTCAACAAAACTAACTTGATCCTTAATTCGTTTTTAATACCTGACCTAATCACTACTCCTGGGGAATTACGTGTACAGTCTTAATGGCTTGCGGCCTAGCTTGGGTCACATACAATAATTACGATACTGTGCACAAGGCTGTGAACGATAGCACACTACAAACACTCATCATTCAGTTGCGGAAGTTACCTATGTTCACATGGAAGATGTATAACATTTTCCAGGTTAACCATTCACTTAAAAAGTAACAATACTAATTCGGGATCTAAACAGTCGCTGTCTAGTCAGTATCCGAGCAGCTAACAGTTAGCCGTGTTTTTGATGCAATCAAACGGAACACGCCTAACGACACGATAGCACGTTATTCAGATATACGCTTTTTATATTTCTACCAGCTGTGTGGTATCTTAATATCAAATTATTCATAAAGTAACTATTGTAAGCTGAAAAAAAGGCTAGAACACAAACTTACCTGACAACAACCCGAAACTTCTGCTAGCCCGATGCTGCTCTTTTCTCAACCACCGCCCTCTTCACTTCCTGATAACATTGTTGGGTATTTAGAGCAAACCAACTGTATAAAATAGGGGGATTTATAAATTATGTTACTATTATTATTATTATCTTGAAAACCAATTAATAGGTTGTTTCGGTGTATACATAATAAATAGATAGATAATGCTTAACTTGATCAGAAAGCAGATGATAATGTTTAATTCTTAGTGGTAATAAAATACAAAGTATGACATCACACCCCCCGACAGAGTGTTTGTGTAACTTCCACAAACACTCCCTTGCCTGCCTTGACATTCCTGGATATGCCCTTTTAAGGGAAGAACGAATACATCGTCCTTCCTGCAATTAAGGCAAGGGAAAACTTGAAGGATCCTCACAAGGAAAAAAGGCAAACATAACAGTAAATTATTATTTAGCATCAAATTAAATGTCTGTGTTATTAGATGTATCAAATTAAAAACATATAGTTCATTTTTCCCTATTTAGTTGACACTGTTTTCAAGATACATAGTAGGCTTTTTTGTGTTGCTTTTGCTCTTTTATGGTCATTTGGAAAACTAAAATACCTGCATATGTTACTAGGTGCTGCATTATCTTTTTGTAGCCTTCTCAGCTAAGTTTTTCTTGGATAAAAACGACGTTAACCTCAATTGAACTTTGACCTGAGGAAGTAATGTGAAAGCTAGTAAAAATGAGAAGAAGTTCATATGCTCAAACCAAAACAATGAAGAGAAACATTTTTGACAGGATGGATAATAATAGATTCTGACTCCCAGCTTGTGCCAGACAACAGTTGGTACCCCGGGTCATAGCTGCAAAAAGGGAGGCTTAGTACTGCAGGGACTCAAAGGAAAGATGTTAATCTGTTGACTCACTGGTTAAAACAAGCCATGCCAGCCTTTTGTCCCGTTGTCATATCACTTTCAAAGTGCTGTAAGCAAACAAACCACCACATGCATTAAAAACACGACTATTCGTAATGATGGTTACAATTGTAGTTCATTTATTTAAAAACTTGACCTCACTGTTGGATCCCTTCTCTTTCAAAGGAGCAGTCGAAACACTGTATACTGTATATGTAGTGTCACCACCAACCACTAGAGTGTGCTAGCTTTATAGAAAACCATTCCTTCGCTCACTGATATTATAAACAGTTTCTTGAGTTTGTTACCTAATATTGTGTTAGCTATTCAATTGAATTTGTTTATGTCTACAACTGTTATCTCAGACATTCAAGTAGCTTTTAATGTGTGGGGGCCATACTAAGCAGAGCATACAAATACCCTTAATAGATCCCATGAGATGTCCATAGGGTTGGAATTTCCTGACAGCTGAACCAAGTGGCATGGTGCTAACATTAATGTACTTCACATACAGTACACAGTTCACATATATGAGCATCTATCAATACAATGTCACATAATACAACTTAACCACAATCTGCTGTCATTTTTTAAATTCATCACATTTCTGATATCTCAACAAACTGAACATGATAGGCTTAAAGTCTACAGGGTGGTTGTATTATATTGCATTCAAGTATACAGATGAACTCAATGTTATTAACCATGGTAGTTAAAATGTGATACAATTAATCATTTCAATAATTATTAAACGTTTTTATTCTTGTGCATTCTTAGTCAAGCAGTATCAACCAGATTACACTAAAGGCCATGCTGCTTATGATAGAACCTACAGAAAGAATGTGTTCTATTCTTTGATATCAATAATATTCACTAATAGGTAGGTACAGTATGTCAGGGTTCTACACAGACTTTATGATATAAATATATGTAATAAAATCAAGTGAACATTATTGTTACACACATACTGTAATATGCTCAGTGTGACTTTTGTTTGCTTAAGGTATGATCATCACACTGGTTACGTTCCTAGGAAGATAATAACATATATAACACAAACATGTATCTATAATAGAAAATTGCATTTCAGTGCAAATAGTTTGATCAAAAAACAATACCACTGTTAGTATTTTAAAAACGAGGGCCATAGTCAGCAGATGGCTAGCTTAGCTTATCATAAAGTTCGATTCAAATCATTCATGTTGGCAAATTATTAACGGCTTCTGACATACAGTATAATACAATTGTAGAATATATCAAAATGAATATATCAAAATGAATTTTGATATATTCTCAAGAGTATTGTTCTTCTCAGTGTTAATCTCTTTTATGGGTTTACACTTTAGATTGTTGCCAAAACATTGTAGGCATGTTGGAATGCTCACTGTTTTAAAAAGCTTGCAACTCAAAGGTCTCAGAGGTGTTCACTGACGTGATATTTTTGCCATGGAAACCTACCTAGTGTTGTGGTCAATTCCAAGAACAATGTCCAAACATCTGTGGCTGGCAGCTAAATTGAATCTGCCTGCCAAATGGCCTCTAATAAACTGACTTTCAACAAAAGAGTCCTGAATGAGTCATACTTGCACCAGGAGAGTGTTTCCATCAACAATCATTGAGTTATCCATCTCTCCTTAAGGAGGCTCTGATGAGACGAGGGAACAGGAGGGGACGTTTGTGAGCTTCCACAAAGGAGAGTGGGTCTGAAAGTGAGAGTGACAAAAGAGACTTTAACAATAGCATGCAGCAGCTAAAGTTAGACTGCTATGGTAACAAGTCAAGACAAAAGATACTGGAGATTAAGCAGTGATGGCATACTGTGGGCTGAGAGCAAGCAAGATCTTCAAATGTAAACAAATAATAATGAATATTAGTTCATACATTTAAAATGGTCACTTTTGAAATCTGGGGGTCACTGCGCCTTTCGGGAAATCTGCATCGTGAGGTGCTTTTGTATCCTAACTTTAAAGTAGGCTTTGTCATATTAATACCTGGTTGACTCCATCACATTTATTTGCTTACATCTGCATAAGGCTGTGACATAGAAACAAACAAAGTATACAGTAAGGCATATCAAATCTGTACATTAACTCATAAATACAGGAGTTAGGATAGTATTTTATACATAGACAGGATAAGAGGCAAACATTCATATCAAAAGATTAGACAAAAAATACAAGAGTAAGCCTGTGTTTACCTGCAAATTAGACAGTAATGTTCATCAGCAGAGACCTGCAGCCATAAATGTGTTGTCCCCCAACACTCTGCTCTCAGCTATATTTATCTCCACCCTCACCATAAAAGGTTGTGACTGCTGCTTGGACATTCTGGCAAGGGACAACATTATTTTTGTTGTATAGACCGCAGCCCTGAACGCACCTACCTGTAGTTTTGCTGGGATATCGAGCTTTGGATTTTGACCATCTTTTCCTCTATAACTTGGAGTTTAAGGGATTTTTTCGAGGGTAAGTGGCAACAGATATGCAGGGAGGAGGCCTGATAAGTGAGGTTGTAATTGATGCATGTTTGTCATAGCATGCTGAGAAAATGCCTGAAGCCTGAACCTTATATGTTGTCTAGCTAGCTGATTAGGTTTACATTTGCAATTTGAGGATGTTTAAAAGTATAACCCCTTTAGTTTTTCCTGTTTTTGGTCAAGACAATATTATGCTTTTTTTTAGCAACAATATTGTTAGAAATATGAAATGGCATCATTGGGATTACCAACTTCTCCATATTATTATTATTTAGTTTGGCAAAGTAATTTGTTTTCCATAAGCACAGTAAAGCCAATTACTGATTTCGACCAAAGTATGTAACGCTAAATGAAAGTCATTGACCTACAGTTTATAATAATGGTAAATCCACCTGCTCTTGAATACTAACTAACCAAACAGACAAAGTAGGCAGCAAGAAACTCGGAAGCTCGCGGCTAACACCAGGAGCGGCCTGCAACATGTCTGGATCTTTACCGTTCTACCAGAAGCACCACCGCCACTATGACCGTGACTACAGGAGCAAGGAGACAGTGTCCAAACTGAGCCAGTACCAGGCCAGCAGCAGGTACACGGCTGGCAGCAGCACCTCCGCTGCCACCAGCAGGAGCAGTGGGTAAGAAGGAGGAAGAGGATCATACCTTCATCAATCCACTTCTTGTCACAGGAAGCTCCCCTTAACACCCAACCTAAAGTTCATCTCCATCAACCTTGTTGGATCACTTCCCGGTCACAGCTATGAGATCATATGTCCCGCTTCACAGCCATATTGACACCAAAGTAACCATCCTTCCCTCTTCTGATTCTCCTTGATCAACCTTCACACACACACCAAAAGATCTTTGCTCCCTAAAAACATCTTTGAATCCAGCATGAAGCTCCTTGCATGATGACTAATAAAGGACCTGTTTGCTTTTCTGCCTGCTCATGAACTCTTATCTGTAACACATCTATTCCTAAATAACTCAAATGATTTTTGGATATGTGGTTTATTACATTTTTGCTCCAATCAGGGAAAGACTGTTGGTTAGAGAAACGGGACGGAAATGCTATGTATGTTGTGCAATGGTTGAGTTATGGTATATGGCATAGACTGAAATAGAATCTTGACCTGTACATACCATGCTGGAGGGAAAGTAACAAATGACAGATTGTCAGTCTATCTTTAAAATCTCATATCATTTACATGCATTATATATTAAAAACGAAGTGACTTACCAAAAGACACAAGTAAAGTTGTTCTTTAGTGGACATTGTTGAAATGCATTAGTGTTATTGCGGTGAATATGCTCGGTCAAATGTACTGAAAAAGAATGATGGTGGTGTCAAGTCACTGATTTAAAGCTGTTTTATGAGATGGATTCTCTGTCCCTGGGAAGGTGCTCTTCTTTCATATTTAAGGATTTACAAAACACCCTGCTTATGGGGGTCCCATTTTTTTACAGTGGCTTATGTTTAAATACACTGGCCTGGAGAGTGTGAACAGGTCAGGGGGCTTAGGCTTGGCTTACACCATCAGATATTTGCCTTTACACCAGCCACCAAATCTGTGCTGATGAGAGGAGGATTATGATGTGATGATGATTTAACAGTCCGAGTGGTTGCATTAATGTCGTCCTGGCAAAGATACTGCATTTATTTAGGAAGGAACATTGACGTTTACTGGATTTCAGTAATGAATCCAAAGTGTGGTCTTATTTCTGGATATTGGAGAAAGTGAAAATGGTCAGAGCTGAAGGAAAAGTGTCCCAGATAGATACATGGAAAAAGAGAGCAGTAGCCCTGTCACCAATCTGGTCCCCCCTGCTTATCAAGTTCTTGTTATCTCATTCCCTTAGCCCCCTACCCCCAACTCTGAGTGCTGCAGATAGTGTTTCCACAGACAAACTGTGTGGCGTCTGGCCTTAAATCTAAAACGTCTTTTCTTTCATCGCTCCACTTGTCATTCCTTCCCGAACTGTAGCCTTAGAAAGCAAATAGAGTATGATACATGATTATTCGATTTGGCGTCTTTTAGTTATTGAATAAATACAACAGTGGTACTCATGTTGTCCTTTGCATCAGATGCCATTTGTTGATTCAAAATATTTAATTATTCTGGACACATACAAATAATACAACTAAACCTCTTCACTACCCACTGAACCTTCATCTACCACTAATTGACCCCCCTCATGGCTTCATCCCCACATTTTGATGTAATCTTATTAGTTGCATAGTCTGGCCAGGCTGATGGTTTTCTAAATGTCACAGACTTAACGTGTCTACACATTATGGGCTGGAAGCGAGCAGACTGAGCCCTATACTCAAGAGGGCCAAGCCAACTTACTTGGCTGTGGATAAGGACCACCAAATCATCGGCTACGTAGTGCCTATCTTCAGGGGCAGGTAATAATCTCTTCAAAGTATACTACAAGAGTGTTTGGAGACAATTTTTTACAGTTATGCCTAACTCCCCATTCCTGGACCTTCTCTACAAACTCCTAGTCAAGAGTTTGGGACTGGGTTTTCGAGTAGAGAGGAAGCAAGGGTGCGGGACTCTTCTGAGTACATGGCCCGCAGGGATTTGTTCACCAGTGGCATGGAGATGGAGAGGTCAGAGCAGACCTCCAGGAGGGAGGCCATTCGAGAGACGGCCGAGCGCATCTCTCTAAACAAAAGGGTCAGTGGGGGAATTCTAAATGTAGCTTTTTAGAGCTTGTACAGGAGGTGATATACTCTTTCAACAATATAAATAACTAACTGCTTATCATTTTTACATCACAAAATATGAGTGACATGATTGTGAAGGCTACTCTTACTGTCACTTAATGTAAATCATTTAGTAGATCTTGATCATTGTGTTCTTTCAACCCTTTGTCGCAGTTACATTTTTCTTTCTTGCATTTTGTCACTATGCTGTCCAACAGCAGTATTGAGTTTTTTGAAACCTAATATGGACAGGTCCATTTTTAAATGTTTCAATATATGATTGTTGAAATACAGAAAGCTTTTCTACCATCTGACATCTTCAGATTAGACTATCCTCTTTCATAATATTACAAATATATGTTCTCCAATCATAGAATAATATCAGGCTACATTACAAAATGAGGTTAGCTGCATGGTTGCATCACTGAGCAGAAATCATTTCAGTACTACTTAGTGACACCTAAGTGCCTTTGGTGTTTGTTACTACTCCTTACACAAGGAAGTTATTATTGTCCCAGGGTGATTATCATGTGAAGTAGGATCCAACCATTCATTAAGCATCATACAATCCACAGTGACCGCTTCACTGTATTAATCTGTCTTCACTCTGCCAGATAGCGTTACTACTAGGTGACACATTCTTTAGGGGATCCTGTTTCTTGAGACATAGGGAGGCAGTGTCCCAGTGGTGTTGTCGTTTTATGTGTTGACTGGTTACTGGACGCTCAACTAGACGATGCCTCAAGACCCCTAGCTATTCTCAGAACGTAATGAACGACAAACACTCACAACACGTTTCAAGTTTAAAAGTACAAACGTCTTGCATGGGGGAAAAAAGGGATGTTGCTGAATTAGTTTGCTTTGTTTTTGCTTCAACTGTGGATTGTGAATACCTGGTGAAATATACTATATATTTTTTAAGTTTAAAGTTCAATTGTCCTAAGTGATTTTGTCTGTTTATAGATCCATGAACACGGGGTACACTTTAAGCGTATGAACGAAGACAGCCTGATGCATACCCCGGAGTTTGTGATTAAACCGCGCTCCCACACTGTGTGGGAGAAGCAGTGTGTGCGGCTGCACTGCACTGTCCGCGGCTGGCCGGACCCCCGGGTCGTCTGGTAGGTCACAGACATACATAATAACCAATATTATATCTTTAAATCTATCCTTTCTGTCCCCTTCTCGCCTGCCTATTCATCTGTGATTGTACTCATCTCATTTAGATGGCTTTATCTATTATATGTGTCATTTTCAAGTTCTTTCTTTTTCTTCTGGCCTGTTTTCTTTCATGTTTGCTGCCTCCTACTAAAAGGTACAAAAACAATGTTGCCATCGACCCTGTTGGCCATGGTGACAAGTATAAACTTGAGAGCAAATACAACATGCACTCACTGGAGATCAACAGGTAGGTGTAGCTTCCCCTACATACAAATAAAATCTTCCCAAAACATTCAACACTGTAACAGGTTTTGTAAATATAAATGAAACATTGCCAAATGTGTTAGACTTTGCATACATCTTAGCTTGTGTAGACTTATTGTTCTTATGTTATTTTGTACTTTTATTTTACATGTACTTCACCATACTCTAAGATCAAAGACCATTTTAACACACTCAAAATCACAAGGAGAAACAAATGAGATGATATTTTTTCCATTTTAATAGAATATGTCGGCTGCAGATACTTTCATGTGAGACCCTCACCACCTGGTGCACATGACATCAGCAGTGGTGTCTATTTATAACCAAAGTATTCAGGAGATATGGAACGCTTACAGCCAGGGCTCACATACTTGGTATTATTTACATGTTTGGGAGGTTGACACGGGGGAAGGGCACAGTACAGTAGATTCTGCTTATCATGGGAATTGATCACCTGATGCTCTCCTCTTTCAGATGTGATTTTGATGACACAGCCCAGTATCGTGTCTCTGCCATGAACTCCAAGGGAGAGCTGTCTTCATTTGCCTCTGTCGTTGTTAAGAGTAGGTTTCAGAAAGTCAGACAATCATCACACCCCAATTCACCTATCATGAACAAGCTTCACAAAATGTGTTAAAAGAACAAGAAAAGCCAGTAATTATAGCTCATTGTACATCAGTTAATTAGTAAATAAGTAAAGTTGCCAAATGTAAAGGCTTTTTCTGCATATACCGATGTATTAACTGCAACATCTCTTAAAAGTAGGAACCAAATATACTTTGACTTGTACATTTCTATTAATGAGAGGCCTAAGCCAGTGAAACGTGGCAAATGTCATGGTGTATAATCTCATATTTGGATATCTTGACAGTATAATACTGTGCACACCATGTGTTCGCTTTAATGGTAACTACTGCTTTTCTCCATAGGGTTCAAAGGTGATATGGATGAGTCCCTGCCATCCCCTAGACGTAAGTGTGAATTTACTGTGTATTTGTATATATTGTATGTTAAATTGTGGAATTCATGTTGCATTCATTGATGTACAACCACTACGGAGTAGAAGAACAAGATAAAAACACAGCATAAACATACTTTGTCTTGATAAGCTGTTTTTAGCTAATTTGTTAGCATATTGCATTAATTTATACCTCTAGCAGACTCTGAGCTACGTTAGCATTTGCTTTTCTGCCAACCTGATGAATATATGTCATAAAATGTACTCTCCTTTTAGCTCTGTTTTTGTCTTCAACAGTTCTTGAGAAAGATGTTTGATTATTTTCACCAGCTATTTGCTAACTGTGTCTGTCTGCTGTGCGCATGTACCGTACAGCTGCTTACTTTAAGATGCTGAAAATATCTGCCCAATGCTGATGTAAGAAAAGTGAATGAGACTGAACAAAGAAAACAATAGTATAATAATGAAAACGATAGTAATAATGGTAATTATGCATTTATTTGTCATTTGATTTTTTTTTATATTATTGACTTTACTCTTGCTGGTTATCTGCTTATACTGTACACACTGATATACAGTGAAGAGTGTGGGGGTTGGGGGCTGTGCACTACTGCACTAACAACTGTTCTGTTTCCTTGATGCTGCGGCAATAATACAGGGGGCAGTACTGAAGGTAACAGGGTCATGTGATCACTGTCACTGTTTGGTCTCTGCATGACCACTTGTCTGTCTGTGTACATGGTGTTCACAGTACTCCTTGTATGGAAAAATCTACAGATTTTTCAGCATTTCAGAGTTGACACCAAGTTAAAGTATGCAACCTTGCAAGCTTATGCGTCCATTTTTTTAAAAGGAATGTGCTAGTGTGAGAAGATGCATTTGCGTAAAATGAGGGATTTTGTTGCCATCAATGTATAGAGCCTTGGAAATACAAAACTGTAGAGTATCTTTTTTCATTTTGTACTGTAGATCCTTTCAACTAATTCCACATCTGAAATCACTGAATATTGAGTGATTTCTTTCAACCAGGTTTTTCACAAGTTTGATGTGCTTCACTGTTTAATGCATGATAATGACGAAAACATCCACTTTTTGGGAGCACTGTTCTGTTTCATAGTCACTCTTTTAGCTCGTATTTTATGTTGTTCTTTATTCCTACACGTGTTCTCTTCCCTACCTTTTTCTGTCTGGCTGAAAAATGTCGATCTAGCTTATTGTTTGTTATTTGGATATGATTTTTGATGTGATAATGTTGTTTCGTAGTGAATGTTTTGTTCTTCCACTTGAATTGAACGCTAGTTCAACTCTTTGTACAATGAGTGACGTGTGCAAAGTGTTTGCACATTAATGCCAGTTTAAGCTCTGACTAAAGCTGCTGTATCTTGCTCTGTTTGCAGATGGCCCCGTGTGTGAGTACGGCGTAAACTTCAAGACTCACATTGTTGATAAATTTGGTGTGACGTTTGGAAGAGAGGGTGAGACCATTAGTCTTGGATGTACAGTCATCATTTCCCCTGCCCTGCACCGCTATCAGCCAGAGATCCAGTGGTACAGAGACGGTAAGAAGATGAATTCAACATATGGATTTACTTAGCCGCCCCAAACCATTGATCACTCATATCATTTTCTTTGAAAAAAAGTACAAAATGATTGGCATCAATAAATACTTATTTTACCAAAAATACAAGCATTTGGCAGAATTATTTCAGAATGAAAATATGAAGATCATTTGAATGATTGTGTTTCTTATCTTAGCATTTAATATCGCATCATCATTTGTTTATTGATTATACTTTTTATTAGGGATCAGAATCAACAGAGTAACTAAGGTTTTTTTTATTAACTGAGGGGAGAAAAGAGTGAATTATTTCTCTATGAATTGAAGATATCTTGAAGTATAGAGTAGCAGAATATAGGAAATTATAGTACTAAAGTAAAGTACCTGTGTAAATATACGTTTCAGCACTACTCCTTATCTTACACTATGGAATGAGTAGTGATTTTGAATAAATTAAGATTTTTGTGAATGTCCCTGGTTTGTATATTATTTTTAGAAGAGGATTATATTTTTATCACATGTTACTCAACCACCTTCTATTGTATTTTCCCAGATGTCCTTCTGTCTCCTTCTAAATGGTACAACATGCACTGGAGTGGAGATCACGCCACAATGACCCTCACACACCTGAACAAAGAGGACGAGGGGCTCTACACCCTGCGTGTCACCACCAAGTCTGGATATGAAACCTACTCCGCCTACGTCTTTGTCAGAGGTGGGTATGCCATCCGTAACTTATCCGTAAGAAATAAATATCCCAAAATAATGAGTGCATAACATGTCTTTGCACAGACATTTTCACCACCATTATAGTCAACCAAAGCTAAATGCAGCTTGTTATTGCGTTATTATGTCATCAGGTCAAGATCAAAGCAACAGCTTGTCCTCTGGCAGCTGATAAAAACACTACATTTAATAGTCAAATTTGAGTGACTGGTTTTAAAGGATATCTTTATAGCGACAACACACAGTGGAAACTCTTTGGCATGGGTTTGAATACTGTGGAAGGTGGTCAGGGAAGCTTATCTTTGGTGCCTTCAGAGACAATCTGACCTTTACAGCTTCAGCTCCTACACGCTGAGTGTGAACAAGCTAGAAAATAGACCCTGTTGTTGACTCAGAGTTGACCAGGGGGGAAAAAGGAGACCAGGTACAGTCTCCATAACAAAACGCTATATGAGCCTGGCTGCCGTTGGGCTATTCTCAGAGAGCTATGGAATGACCCTGGTGCAGAAAGATACTGTAAATATCTGCTAGACGAGAAACAATAGGCTGCCCAGTGTCCTTATTGATCTGTGTTTCTCTTTGTGAGTGAACACACTTTGTCTTTTAAGCTGCATGGATACACACTTACCCAGTTGACATTTGCTCCTATACTTAATGATGCAACTCTTAGGTGGCCTGGCATTACCCCATATGTTTCTTTAAGAGTCATCACTCTTATCCCCTTTCACTCGGGGGGGGGGGGGGGATACAGCTAATTCTGTCCTCCTCTCGCTGATTGCTCTTGGCTTGTGTTTAAAGTGAGGACCAGAAACATTCCTGGCATCAAGGGCTGAGCCCAAACCGTTCAACATACATCACACAGCTCATTTTAAACCCACCAGTAGAAGCAATCAACTATAGACAACACTTTAAATGAAAGATAACGAAATATGAAAAAGAATAGTGTGTAAAACAAAAGAAAGTACGCATACCGTTATTTTATTGTTGGTGTTTCTGGATGTGTTAGATTCTGAAGCTGAGGTTGAAAGAGCTCCTGGGGCCCCTCTGGATGTGCGCTGCCTGGATGCCAACAAGGATTACATCATCGTCACCTGGAAGCAGCCAGCTGTCGATGGGGGAGACTCCATTTTGGGCTACTTTGTGGACAGGTAGGTCAATATGGTGCTAGACATTTCAGTAAAGTGTCTCACAGGAGTGGTAATCTGGAAAACAAACCTCAAAGATTTAAGAGAATGGGAGAACAACAGTTTGAACATAATTGTCTGTGACATTACACTTTTTTCTGTTTGTGATTCGTCTCTAAAACTCTGGTGTACCTAGTTATTCTCATGAAAATGTTTTAATGAAGCAGCTTCAGTGGCTTGCTTTGCAAATTACAAAACATAATGTATGTTGAAAACTTTTCAAAAAATTGTTTAAATGAAAATCTGAGGGAAAAGATAATAATAATGTATTTAAGTACTATTTGAAAAGTCTGGTATGAAACCAACAGATACCACTCCCAGATGCAATACTTATTACGGAAAATAACCTTTATATAAATACAATAGCAAGAATGTCACTGACTGGTATTTTAAAAATCAAACAGCTGCACTCAATCCTTTGCACACATTCTCCAAAAATTCTGGGAGTCAGTAATTATTTAGGAACATTTTGTTAAAAACGGATGTATATTATAACCTATTGTAATTTGTGTTCAGATGTGAGGTTGGAACCACCCACTGGGTCCAGTGCAATGACACTCCGGTTAAGTTTGCCCGTTTCCCCGTCACCGGTCTGGTGGAGGGCCGCTCCTACATGTTCCGTGTGCGTGCCGTCAACCAGAATGGCATGAGCCACCCGTCCAGGGTCTCTGAGCCGGTAGCTGCCATGGACCCCTCTGACCGCGCCCGCATTAGAGGTACTGCAGCCTTTTAATGTCTGTCAGCTAGAATACAGCCTATCTCTTATCCATATTTAAAGAGCTTTACAAAGTAATTCAAGTAAGATAGTACAACATGAGTCAGGTACAATGCTATTGGCCGATATAGACTCTATTTTTTCCTATTGTTCCAGAATATTATTTAGACATTTTGTTTCTTTTTCCTAATGTTTTTTTTTTTTTTATGTTAAAAAGCTTTTTCCACTGCCACTACCTATGATCAAATTCTGTTCAGAAACACCTTATGATTTCAAATTGGAATCTTTTTTATTTTTTCATAAAAAATATAATAATTTGAAATCCCTAATTCATAACTTTTCATGATTTTGATCAGGTGCCTCTGCTCCTTGGACTGGCCAAATCATTGTCACAGAGGAGGAGCCTGCAGGTAGGACACTTATTTTGACAATTGCTGATTAAATCTAGTTTGCTCATTTAAATGGTGTCTTCAGGGACTCATACTTTATCTCTTGACCTTCAGAGGGCATTGTTCCTGGCAGACCTCTTGAGCTGCAGGTGACAGAGGCCACCAAGAACTATGTGGTGCTGAGCTGGAAGCCCCCTGGAGACAAAGGCCTTGAGGGTGTCATGTACTATGTGGAAAAAGTAAGTTATTGACCATTTTCCTATTTGTGACTTATTAAGGAAAAACTCACACTTCGTATCTTTGCTTCAGTGTGTTGCGGGCTCAGACACCTGGCAGAGGGTGAACACTGAGATCCCCGTCAAGTCTCCTCGCTTTGCCCTGTTTGATCTTGCTGAGGGGAATTCCTACAGCTTCCGCGTCCGCTGCTGCAACGCTGCTGGTGTCGGCGAGCCATCTGATCCAACGGAGGCCTCAACTGTTGGAGACAAGCTTGGTTAGAAAAAACAAATGCAGGCATCATCATAGCATTATGTCCCATTTACAGTTAATGACACCATGCATTCTGGCCCACAGATATCCCATCTGCCCCAAGCAAAGTTGTCCCTATCAGAAACACAGACACATCCGTTGTTGTGTCTTGGCAAGCATCCAGTGAAGCTAAGGAGTTGGTTGGATACTACATTGAGGCGAGCGTTTTGGACAGCAATGAGTGGGAGCCATGCAACAACAAGCCTGTTAATGTTACCAGGTAAAACAACTCCTTTCCTGTTAACCATATAGAGGAGTTTGTATATAAAAACAATGCCATTATCATATTTGAAATACATTCACAGGTTCATCTGCCATGGTCTGACGACGGGAGAGAAATACGTGTTCAGGGTGAGGGCAGTGAACGCAGCAGGGCTCAGCCAGTTCTCCCCAGAGTCTGAGCCTGTGGAGGTGAAGGCTGCTATTGGTAAGTAAAACTTTACAGGAGTAAGAACAAAGTAAAAAATATAGGTCATCCTGTTTTTTAGATGTGTGGTTTTAGGAAAAATCCACCTATAGAAAAGCGTATTAATATTGTTTAAAAGTCAGCCTTTGGTATTGCCGAAGTATGTTTTTTAACTTGGTTGTAACAAAAATTATGTTAGGATATATTATATTAGGACATTTCTTAAAGTTATAAAAGACATGCAAGAGTTTGCATTTTTACATGATGTCTTCAGTTTGTTATACCATCAGCATCTACACTCCCACACTTTCTCCACCATGGTTCCACCCTGTCAACCTATCACGTTGTTCTGCACTGGTATGTGCCCCACCTACCCACCACCATGTCCAGTCACATACACCCTCCCTCCTCCTCCTCCTCCTCCTCCTCCTCTTCCTCCTCCTCCCTGCACAGCCTGAGGCGGGTCAGGACTTGTAGACTTCCTCTATTTTGGGTCATTCTGATCCAACTCAGTGGTTGTTACAAACCAGCCCAACGTCACACACCACCACCATCCCCCATTTCCCTCACTTTTCCTGGGCACAAGGCGTGTCGGCAACCCCACACGGTGCTAAAGGTACCGTCACACACACCTCCCCGCCCCATCGAGCCCCTTAATGTGTGTCTGTGTATGTTTAAACCTCTCATATCGCAACTAACCTGGCAGTGGAATTGCTCTGATCAATTGGTGCCTGAATTAGAACGCCAAACAAAAACGCTATGGCTAAAATAACAGTATTTTTTCATTTATAAGTTACGTCATGATACGGCACATTTCTGCAAGATCATATATATAGTAATAACACCCTATACAATAATCTATAAATCCCCCCAAAAATATCCTCAACTTGGACACCATCATTCTTTAAAGCAATAATTTAGTATCATCACCTTATCAAGATAAAGGTAAAGATAAGATAAACAATAACATGGAATAGGATAAAATACCAATTCTGCTGCTGTTATAATCGTCCTTATCTCCTGCATGTGGTCCCTAAAAACTCTTGGCATTTCAACCAAAATAACTTCCAGCCTTTGGATGTTGCTCATTCACTGGCAAACTTTTAACTGAGCAACTTTCTCTGTTTCCCTCATGAAACACACTCACTTAGTACACAATGCCAGTGTGTTTCTCTTCAGGCAGACATATTGGTAATGTTTTTAGGAAACACAATGATTTCTACTTTGTTTAAATACAAAGAATTGAATGGGCTGTTAAACTACTGCCCCCTTTACTACTTTCTTAAAAACGTAACTCACAGTACAATTAAAGTACATGTTATACATAGATAAGGAACAGCTAAAAGCTAAAAACAAATAGGCCTACAATACTTCATATCAACTTTTTAATGGAAGTCTACAGTGTTTTTCATAGAGGGTTGCTATAAAGCCTGCACGCAAACAGTCATTGCCTGGTATTTTTCAAACACCTGCATGCTCTCATAATCCAAAATAAAGTCTTGTCACCTCCTCACATGGATGTCACTTGTTGGCCATCTTGTCTTCATTTTTCACTCCCAGTCAGATGAAGACATTTCACTGTATTTTTAGGCTGATAGAGAGAACTGTTTATGTTTCTGCTAGTCTTCTCGACTTGACTTGTGAACAGATCTTGTGCCTGTTTCTTTAAAAAGCCTCTTTTGCTTTTCTCTGCTAACTCCTGTAGGGGGCGGCATCCCTCATGGTGTGTTGCCGGAGATGGGTCCGGGGGGTAACGCTGGCCAACTAACTGAGCACAGGCCACGCTGGACGGGCACGCATGAAAATGTCCAGTCCCCCCTTTACACTAAGCGCAATAAAGCTCAGGCTGACACGAAGGCCAGGCAGGGGGCTGGGCCAGATAGCTCAGCACTCACACAGCCTGACCCCGTCGAAAATAAACACAAGGGGGGCAAGAAAGGCAGTGTGTCCTGGGCCCCTGACCTGGCAAAAGACCTGGTCTCAGAGTCTGTGTCAGACTCAGTTTCTGACTCACTAACTGCACAATTAGAACCTGTCACTGCTGAGGTTCAGGATCAGGCTGTAAAGACAGTCAATGAGCCTGAGGCCAAACAAGCACGTAAGTTCCCTGTAGATGCTTCTGCTAATCTGGAGACTGCAAGGCCCCGGAGAGAGTTGGAAGGTGAGCACTGGTCACAGATGGACATCTTTCTGTCAAATCCAAAAGAAAAACACAAAAAGCAAATCCCCCCTCTTAGCATTCTTAGAAATATGACTTCATCATGTAATAAAAGAAAGATTTCCCCTTATGAAAACAGTTTTGCAATGTTCTAAATGTATCTGCTTTTGATATGAATCACTAAACAGTTGGTAAAGTTGTCTACTGGTATTCTTCTTTTTAAGGTAAGTCGCTGTATAACACACCAAACTTTAACTCAACACAGTCCCGCTTGTCAATAGTTTTAAGTCCACCACTTTCCCACAACCTCCTCACTTGGAGGCTCAACATCGGTCACCCGGCACCTCGGGACCTGCCATCACATTCAGTACTCAGAGCACTATGTCATGGCAGGAGCCGGCTAATCACACCCTGTACTTGAAAAGTGGGTCATCCAACCAACTCAAGAGCACCACACTTGTGACCTAAGACCTTTTTGGTATAACTGTGTTCTCCTTTTGAAGTCCACGTCTCAGACATTTGACTAAACATCCCTTAATAGGAAAGAGTATCAAGTTAAAGTGACTATTTGTGTCGAAAAGCCATTTTGTTATCCCCAAGTTACAAATTATTGATTTTGGGCAGCCTAAGGGGCTGCCCAAAATCAATAACAGTCACAGTCCCAGAAATCACTGTGTCAAATGTCGGAATTTTCATACCACAAATTGTACTGCATAACTATCCAACCCATTATATATAGTTCTTTTTTGACAAGAGGTAGACAAGAAAAAGAATTCCACATCTGTCTGTAAAATATGATGCTAAACATGGTTCGCTTAGCATAGCATTAGCAAGACTGGATACGGGCGTCTCATTAGCCCGGCGTTGTGACTTCCTGGATGACTGGTTGTCACATTTTTATTTTATTTAAATTTAACAAACAAGTTACAACATTATAGTGAGCTTTAGCAAGGTTTAACGTTTTCAATTTTCCAGTTGTCATGCTAAGGAAAGCTAGCTATCCTGGTTAGCATGTAGACCTTTCAATGTAACTTCCAAAGCAAAGAAGTGTATTTTCTAAAATCTGACACAGTTCTTCTAAGCACACCTTAATACAGAAGCCTTTTCAAAAAGGTGCAATTGTGTTGTGGGTTGGAAAATATTCTGTTACAGCAGGTACTCATACTATTGTATTTAAAGTAATAAACACTTCAATGACTTCAGTAGAATTTTGGCGATGGAAGAAAGAGAATTTAAATGTAGTCAATACGTGCTGTAAATAGAACAGTTTTCAGTAATGGGACACTGAAGCTTACTAGCATCGACAAAGCTACAATAAACTCATGAAATGCATTTTTAGGCTACAAGCATTTCAAAGGATTATTAATGAATTCCAATTCATTTGAATGCAGCTGGACGGAGGTATAAAAAAATACATTTGAAAATTAAAAGTATCACCTCATTGTTTCAGTTTCCCATTACTTCACCCAGTTCCCCCTTGGGAGGCGTTATGGTGTTAATTTATGTTTTCTATCATCTCAGCCTCCCCTGCTCCACCCTATGGCATCACTGTCCTGGAGTGTGTATTTGACTCCATGGTGCTGTCCTGGAAACAGCCAACATTCATCGGCGGTGCTGACATCACCGGATACTTCGTGGATTACCGTGAGGTCATCGATGGTGTGACAGGGAAGTGGCACGAGGCCAACATCAGGTCGATCAGCGAGAGGGCCTACAGGGTGAGTTATTAAATTCATAAAACCAATAGGTTCCAATTTTAAAAGGCTCTTATAACTAAGGGTCTGTCTTCATGTCTCTTTGTCTAAAGGTGTCTGATCTGAAGGAGAAGAGGAAGTATCAGTTCCAGGTGCGGGCAGCCAACATGGCAGGTGTCGGCATCCCTTCACTGCCCAGTGACACCTTCCTGTGCGAGGAGTGGACCATCGCTGTGCCAGGTTGGTTTGACCTACTGTTTCTAAAAAGTTATCTAATCTCTGTCACTATACTTGATAAATGTGTTCTTATCCTCACTTTTACTTGAAGATGACAATCGGTTGTTAACATGTTCATATGAAATCAAGGAAGAACATGGAGCAAAAAGTAGTATTCCTTTTTCTGTGTACACATGTAATCAGACCAACTGACCTTCAGATTTTGAAGCCTTGGTGTGTTTCTTACTTCCTGTTTTGGACCTTAGGGCCTCCTCACGACCTGCAGGTAAGAGAGGTGCGTAGCGACTCTCTGGTGTTGCTTTGGAAACCACCTGTATACCAGGGCCGTGATCCGGTCAACGGGTTTTACATCGACATCAAGGAAGCAGACGCACCAGTGGAGGCGTGGAAAGGAGTCAACACTAAGGCCACAGAGAAGACGTTCTTCAAGGTCCCCATTGTCCGGCTGAGTTATTTTGTCCAGTTACATGTGTGGCAGCAGCTGTTGTGTAATCTGATTTCTTTCATTTTGCAGATTAAGAATCTGAAGGAAGGGGGGAATTTTGTGTTCCGTGTACGCGCTCAGAATAAAGCTGGCGTTGGACAAACCTCAGAGGAGACAGAGCCGGTCATAGCTGTCACTAAACCAGGTAGGCGAAACTTTTTGTGATGCTGGTGATGAGGTCATCATTTCAAGCTGTAACACCAGCGTCTTTGGGTTTTCAGGCACTAAGGAGATCGCAGTGGATGTTGACGATGACGGTATCATATCCCTGAATTTCGAATGCTGTGACACAACTCCCGACTCCAAATTTGTGTGGTCCAAGGATTACGAGGAAATAGCAGACACATCCCGCCTGACAATAGAGACCAAGGGGAACAAGTGAGCTGACTTATTTTAAGTAGAGACTCTTTGATAAACAGAACATCACTCAGTATGTCTTACCCCTTTGTTGTTTTGCAGATCCAAAACTATTTTCAATACTCCTGCGGAGGAGGACATTGGTATTTACTCATGTATTGTCACCCACACTGATGGTGCTTCATCCAGCTACACTCTCTCTGAGGAAGGTGGGTTAAAAATAACACAGAATATATGAAATACAATTATCTTTCTGCTCTGTTTCCTCTACTAATGGATCTCTTTTTCATATCTTCAGAGTTGAAGAGGCTGCTGGAGGTCAGTCATGACCACAAATTCCCCGGTGAGTGTATCAGCATATAATCACAGATGTTTTCTAATTATGTCATGAACCAGGCTTTTTTTAAATTTTGAGCTGGCCCTCACTCTTTCTCCAAAATAGTTATTCCCCTGAAGTCAGAGTTGGCTGTGGAGCTGTTGGAGAAGGGCAAAGTTCGCTTTTGGCTGCAGGCGGACAAGATGTCAGCTAACGGCAAAGTCGATTACATCTTCAATGATAACCTTATCTCTCAGGGGGATGTCAGTAAACAGTTTGTATTCATGATAAGAATGATGCTTTTTGTGTTATTTATTTAGATGATTAAGGTTAATAGGTGTTTTCTTATTTTTGTAGAAATACAAGCTCAACTTTGACAAGAACACCGGCGTGATTGAGATGATCATGGACTCTCTGACTCCAGCTGATGAGGGCACCTTCACCTTCAAATTGCAGGATGGAAAGGCTACCAACCAGTCCAGTTTGGTACTGATAGGAGACGGTATGACCAGTTAAACAAAACAATATTGAGATGATTCTATCGCATATCCAATAATCTAGGGGTCGTGAGATTTTTGTATAGTTCAGATGAGAGGCTAATTCATGGAAATCAAGTGATTTTTGGCATTGAAATACAAGATTCTGCTTATGTGAGTGAACTTTTATTTATAATGTGGTATTGTGTAAAATACTATTATTTTCTCATTTCTATTATATATTTTCCATTATTATAACATTTACAACAGAAAATCTGCCATGATAAAACAGATCTTTTCAAATGTTGACACCAAAATCTATATAAATGAAAATAATTGTGTCAGTTCAATCTGGCAACATTGATTTTGTAATCCTATAAACTAACAGCAACCTAACATGTATATCACCTGGTTCGATACTATGGTTAGATTAAGTGTTTCAAGCTGAATGTTAATATTGTAAACCCTTTTTATTTGCAGTGTTCAAGGAGCTGCAGAAGGAATCAGAGTTCCAGATGAAAGAATGGGTCAGAAAGCAAGGTACACTCACGATTGAAAATAATGGGATATTGCTGATTTTTTAGTAATGAAAAGAGATGTTTCTGATTGGTTATTGATTTAAATGGTATCATGTGTAATTGCAATTTCACTCACATGGAGGTGCTATTACACAAGAAAGCTTTGAAATAACACACACTTAATGTAGCCAACAACAGGGCACTTTCACCCAAGGTCATTTCCTATCTTCTTTCATCCCTCGCCTGCAAAGTTTTATAATCATCAAACAGGAAGAGGTCACCTCAACCTCCTTTTTAGACTAGGATCTTTTATAAATTGGTTTCCTGTATTCACATTTTACAACCCCCTTATCATTGCTAATTTCTCAGAGCACCCTCACACACACTTAGTAGTTTCTTCTTTAATGGGCAAGCGTAGTAACTGAAATGGCCTGTTATCTACAGTTCAGTTGGATCATTCTACCTTCTTTTTAATAGTAACTCTTTGCTAATGTATTCCTTATAATGGTCAATTGATAACAACACAGGATATAAAACAGATTTAGGTTATGCATTTATTATGCAAAAGACCCACTTGCCTTCAACATTGGAACAAGCTAATTTTTTGAATTTTAGCCTTAAAAGTTGATTTCCTGTTGGTCAACTAATCGATCGTTCAGTTAAACGTTTCAGCTCTATGGTAATCACTGTTCATTTTTAACTGACCTCTTTCTTCCAGGTCCTCACTTTATCGAGTATTTGGGTTATGAGGTGACACCAGAGTGCTGCGTTGTTCTGAAATGCAAGGTAAGAAAGAACTTTAAACTTCTTTTTCATGCTTACTCGTTTAAAAAGCTACTAGTTTAATTTAATCAAATCCTATTTTTGTATTTCAGGTTGGAAACATGAAGAAGGACACCTCTGCGCTGTGGTACAAAGACGGACACGAGATTAAAGCAGACGAGAATCTGGGATTCACCGAGGGAGTGCTGAAACTGGAAATTGCTCAGGTAGAGAATATGAGGAAGGAAACCTGTATGAAGTGTGACATTTTCTGTGTATTTATGTGTATTTCTGTACTGTATATTTGTCACTGAATTCATTTGCATATATGAATGTTAATCGTGAAATCATTGCACAGCTCTGTTTATGTCATGCCTCAAAAATATATGGATTCTCCCCAATGTTGGTCCACAAGAACAGGTTGGAAATAAATACAATGAACAATTAAGGGACATTTCATTTACTAATTACACTAAAACGTTTGGATATAAATAACCAGCATTTAAGATGAATCTGAAAAATATATTTTAATTCCATTTCACACAATGTCTGTTATCACTCTCTTCCTCTAACTGTTTTGTCTTCTCCTTCTTCCATTCTCATTTCTCTCAAATGTCATCAAATTTTCCATCTCAGAACTCATTCCCATCCAACTGTCTCGTCTCTAAACGCCTGTCCTATTATCAACATCCCTCCTGGTGGTCTAACATTTAAACGTGATGTCACATCTGTCCCATTTCAGCGCGACTCCCCTGCAGACAAAGCAGACTATGCTGACGACATAATCTGGAGAAGACTTAAAGTTGGGAACAGTTATCTATTGTCGTCACGGGCCAACGGCCACTTCTGGTTTTGCCGTTCTGCCTGAGAATGCTTAATTTATTTATACATGTTTGTTTGTTCGTCCGCTTTTTTGCTTTTGCGTCATATATCTGTTTCTGCAGCACCCCTAGCAGAAGAGAAAAGCTTGCCTTTTCAGATGAATACATTACATTACATTACATTGCATTTAGCTGACGCTTTTATCCAAAGCGACTTACAATAAGTGCGTTCGACCAACAAATACAAACTTGAAGAAAACAGAATCATATAAGTACATCAGGCTTCATAGAGCAAAAACATTTCAAGTGCTACTCAACTGGCTTTAGGTAAGCCAGTCCTTTATTAGTATATAAGTGCTTTGTTAATAGTTCTATCGCCCGAAGTGGAGTCGAAAGAGATGAGTTTTCAGTCTGCACCGGAAGGTGTGTAAGCTTTCTGCTGTCCTGATTTCAATGGGGAGCTCATTCCATACAAATGAAATTCTTTGTTCAGCGTTTTTATGACTGAATTTAATGCTCCTGCTCTTTTTATCAGATTTCCAAGAAAGACTCTGGTGTGTATGAGGTTGTTCTGAAGGACGACAGAGGGAAGGACACTTCCACGTTGAATTTGACCGATAAAGGTAACTTTTAAGTCACAAACTGACCTAAGCAATCTGACTGTAGCAAAACATATCACTTAGCATGATCAAATGTTGTTCTCTTTAAGGTTTCAAAGACTTGATGAATGAAGTTTTCAGTTTCATCGGTAAGAAGATACATTTATTTTACAGAAATTCAACCTTTTGGTTCCTTATTCATTTTCGATTTTAAATTTCACCCCCAAAAATAATATTCTAATTGCAGCCAATTCCTCCACTCCGCTGAAGATCACAAGCACAGAAAATGGCATCCGACTCTACACCTTTGTCAGCTACTATAACGATTTACTCCAAGTGACATGGCACTACAAGTAGGTCATGACTCTAAAACAACTATATAAGCATGTACACATTTCATAAAATGTACACACTATAAGATATTCAATGATGCTTATTTATTTAAGAATGATTCATAATTACACCCGGCAGTAAAATGGCGTGTCCTAATACTTTCTGAAGCCTTGTGCCCTTTTAACCATGGTCAAATGTGTCAGTGGTTAGCCCACCTCATGTTTCTGCACCTCTCTCTGACAGGGATTCGGCCATCTCCTTCTCTGACCGCATTAAGAGTGGAGTGGTGGGGGAGCAGCTGTGGCTGCAGATCTCAGAGCCCTCAGAGAAAGACATGGGCAAATATGCCATTGAGTTTAACGATGGGAAAGGTGGCCTGAGGAGGACCGTGGAGCTGTCTGGTCAAGGTAAGACCACCAACATATTTAAAACTCCAAGTCACATGATTATACACTTGTTTTTAATACCAATGTTTTACATTTGGGAAGTATAATAGCCTTTGTGTAGTTCTTTCTATTATTCTTGTTTTGTATTCAGTGTATCCTTGACTATAATCCATATGTTTTGTTTTGCAGCATTTGACGATGCTTTTGCAGAATTCCAGAGACTCAAGTAAGTTACGTTTTCCTAAATAGCTATCATATTTTTGTAATCACAACATGCATGAAAGCCACATTTTGTATATGTAAACCTACAGTGTTTTTAGAAACCACATGCAAAAGTATGCAGACAGATTAAGCTCTCACTTTCAGTTCTGATTCTCTCATCTAATTTGTTGTTTCCTCTTTCTTTTTATTACCTCATCAGAGCTGCTGCTATTGCAGAGAGAAGTAAGTGTGTTTGGCCTTGTTTTTGTAACGTTTTAAGCCTGGATGAGGTAGTGATTGAATATCAAGAAGACCTGTCTATTGTTTAGAATACTGGGAAGTGGAGATCGAATTCTGACAGATCATACAACTCTGAGTCCTTTGAATTGCATTATTAAGCTTCCACTGATAATGTTTTAAGCAATGTAACATCCACACTGTATATTAGGATAAATATTAATATATGTAATGTGCAACATGGTGGTTGACTACTACCTTATTGAGGTTAACATTGTTTCTTTCAGGTCGTGCTCGAGTAGCAGGAGGCCTGCCTGATGTGGTCACTATACAGGAGGGCAAGGTAATCTTTTTAAACTAATAATATGAGCAAGCAATTAGACCATTTTAGTATTACTGAATAATTGTACGTGTGCTTGCTATCCTCCATCCAGGCCCTCAATCTCACCTGCAACATTTCGGGCGACCCCGTGCCAGAGGTCACCTGGCTGAAGAACGACAGGGAGATCACGTCCGACGAACACTGCATTCTCAAGTTCGAGTCAGGCAAGTTCGCCAGCTTCACCATCACCGGCGTCAACATCTCGGACTCTGGCAAGTACAGCATCCTGGTGAAGAACAAGTACGGCACGGAGAGCGGGGACTTCACCGTAAGTGTCTTCATCTCTGAAGAGGCGGCCAGCAAGAAAAAATAAAGGCGGTCCAAATATTGTCGTACATATGTATAAATGAAAAAAACACTGGAAACAGTTAAAAAAGAGAAACAAAAGTGAATGTGTTGTAGAATATAGCATTTAAAGGTGCTGAGTCTGAAATGAAATGTCAACAGAAGTTAAGAAAGAGTGCGGTGATGAGTTAAAATCATAAAAATACACATTTGGTCAACAATAACAAATCTAACATCATGTCCACTCAAAAATTTTACTGGTGCAATTTTAGTTTTTCTTTGTGTAAAGTTGTGGCATGCAGGGAGCCAAATGTTTGCATTCATATTACTTATGAAACATTACTTGACAAAATAATGCCAAATATTTAAGTTTAAGAGATGTTGTGCTGATGGGATGCAACGTAAAGTCAAGGAAATGAAATCATGTGTTGATGGTCTATTCAAAAGCAAAATGTTATTACATGTTTTATCCCATTTGCTACAAATTAGGTCTTATTTTACTGCCAAGCAACAGTTTTAACAGCTTGTCTTTCAGGAAGCAATGCATTATATTATATTAGAATTTAGTTTAATTGTATGACAATGTAGAAAGGATTCTGAGACTCAAATTATTGGTCAAATTAAACAATAGTAAACTAATTTGTTGCAAATGGGTTTAAACATGCATCGTGTCATTTAATCACATTTAGCCCTGTTTTGCAATAATACACAATCATTTGAATGTTGTGCTCATGACATCACGTCCATTGTCTCCCTGTTAGTAGTGAACACTGTATGTTTGCCCACTCTCATATTGTTATTTATGTAATTCACCATTGTTATGATATCCCTTCACATTAATGATTTTGATGCCTCCTTTATTGTGATGATAACGATGCCACTGTAATGAAGACTGTTGGATCACTGTTCATTAACAATGGATATTGCATAACTTCTTCCTTTCCTGATTAGACTAATAAAAATGAGCATGTACTTCCCCACTTCCTCTTTGAGTTGTCTCACTTTGGTTTGAAGCCTACACCCTTCACTATTCACTCTCTCATTTCAGTTGACTCTTACCTTTTTCACTCCCAGTCACGATATCTGTAGACTTGGACTCCTCGACGATATACCACCAGCATGGAGAAAAACCCATCCCTCTACTGAAATCAATGTGTGCTCCATTAATGATGCCCTGAAAATAAAATCAAAAACACTTTTAGGGAGCAGAAAAAAATCAAGCTGTTCTGAAAGTATTTGAGAGAAAACTAATGTTGTTTCAACGCGTTGTCTGGTCACCAGCATCAGTACCCTCATACAGAAGACTTTTTATACTTGATACAGTATTCAGGTTTTTCACATGAGGACGTAACCCTGTAAAAGTATTTGTATGGACTAGATAGATAGATAGATAAGATGGATACGTACTTTATTGATCCCAATTTGGGAAATGTTTTGCATTGCAGCAGCATAAAAAACAAGGCAAGGTAAGAGAAATAAAGACACGAAATACACAATCCAAAATATTTCTGAAGTAGAAATAAAATAGCTTTTAAAAGTAAAAAAACATACATGTGGAAATTTCCAATAACAAAATATAATACAGGATATTATATGCACATTCATTTAGCAAGAAATTGATTATTCAAACCACCTAACATGATATTCAGTGAGCTTTTGAGATGCTGGTGGGACAATCTTTTTTTTTTTACAAAACAAATCTAGTTCTCATTCATAGCATTCTTTTCGATGTCTTACTATGGTATACGCAGGAAGGCGCATCTCGTAGTGAGACATCTCACTCGTGCTACTCTGAGAACCGGGGTTACACAAGTAACCTAAAGTGATTCCCACTACTTAGTAGTCCTTATTCTAAGTTTAACTTCTCCTGTAATTTATTTGATATTGATATCGATCTTCTCATCAAGAAACTATATATCTCAAAATGTCAAACAGGACTATTGTATGCCAAGTACTAAGTGTTGTCTCTTCGGCTTATTTAGACATCATTTTAAACATTGAAGAAGAAATAATACTGATGAAGGTTCTTATTAGAAAGTGGGCCAAAATTATCTGAAGAATCGGAATGCACTCGACATGAAGCAATATCATTCCATGTGTTTTTAGATATCATTTTTTCATCAGGTGAATATACATTTGGATAGATTATGAATGTTTGGAGTCAAGAGTATCCAGGTCACAGGCAGTCATGTATAGGTCTGACCTCACTGAACGTCCTGGGTGAGTAGAGGACTTAATTCTTCGGCTGCTGTGATGGTTATTTCTGGTTAGAGCAGGTCTTTTTAATACATGGCGACGTCTGACTCCAGTTCTCTCCTCTCAGGTGGAGACCACAGATGGAACACCTGACCTGGGGGTGACGTCATACTGGACTGATGCAGACGGAAATGTAGTGTTTGGCCCAAACACCCCAAAGGAGAAGATGAACACCACAGTCACTGGAACGAAAACCCCAAAGCGGAAGGGTGAGAGCTTAAAAGAAATATGGCTGAAACATTACAGCATGGCATCATTTTGTCAATAATGAATGAATGAATGTTCTTTTGCAGAATCTGTAGCTAGGAAACTTCCAATGGAAAAGGTTGGAGACACAGATGAGGAGAAGGTTGCAGTTAAACCCAAAGCTACAGATTCAAAACAAACAATAGCTGCAAAGAAAAAAGTTGCTGACCAGCCTTTGACTTCTGACCAATCAGAAGCCTCCGTGAAGCCTGCAGGCAAAGTGGAGGAGCCCGGACCAGTATCTGAAAAACAGCCAGAAAACACTGAGCGGTGAAGAAAGTATTTATTATACTCTCATATACATATATATATTACAAGTTTGATGTGGGCTTTTGTGCTTTATTGATGTGCAGTTATCCTCACTTAGACGTTACATTTTCTCTTTTAAAATATTAATAATAATTACACAATTGTTTAAAAGATTAAGTATCTTTTAGAATATTACTTTTTTATGATGCACTAATAATAACACTCAACAGAACAATGTTTTTATGGATTGTCTGCTTTAGATTTCGATATATGTCTCCTGTTTCTGTTTCTTAATTTTAGCTTGAATAAAGATTCCATTCACACATGTATTAGTTTAAATGATCATCCTTATTAGTATACCGTGCCGGAAGACTTGTAGATATACAATATACAGGCAGTGTGGAGGCTTATGTGAACGTGAGGCCCTCTAGTAGGGAGTAAGAACAAAGCCAACATGGGAAATTCTTGGGGTTAAACAGGGCAGAAATAATTCAAATCAACATGTGCTAAAGAGGTCTAGTGAAGACAATGGTGCAGTGAGGGGAACTTGCATCAGTTATTAAATACAACATTCTGATATTCATTCAAAAATAATTTCCTTGCCAGAGTACTTTGTTATTGATTATTATTGAGATTAGAAAAAAGCAGATAATAGCAATACATATTGCTAACTGACAAAATTGAGAGAAATTGCAACAAAAAAAGCATCGATAAATCAAAAAATTCTAAAAGATCTAACTTTATAGTTGCTTAAACTTTACAAGACCTGTATTGTATGCAAAAGTATCCTAACTTTTATGTGGCAAGGTCCCCAATTTAGGAAATTCCTGTGTAAACATCCAGTTATCTGACTCAGCAGACATGTATATGGGGAACTGAAACATTCTACTTCCCCTCCAGAACTATTAGATGGTACTTCATTGTTCCTCTGAACTTATAATAATAAGACAGCTGGTTTCACACTGCCCTTTCTTTAGGCTAAGGAGTCCCAATACTATGCAGCACTTCATTCACCTGCATGAATAAATTGTAGCATAGTGAATCTGCATCAACTCTTCAATCAGTTTAAACAGGTTAAATATGTTCTTGTAGATGTATCCTTTTTTTAATTTAACAATTTGGTTGAGGTCTTTTTAGATTCTACCTCATCTGCACCAAATGAGGACTCATGTTTTTGTACTCAATCAAGTTTAATTATTAAATGTGCTGACATTTTGAATGCATTGCCTTACATGGAAATATGAAGCATGCTTCACGATATGCAAGCTAAACCCAATCTTAATAAAAGTTGAAGACACCAGTTTGTCTTTGATATTTGAACAGGAAGTGAAACCTTGGAAATACATGAGATTACATAAACAAAAGTTTATCAGAGGTAACGTAAAAAGGAAACAGAAACCAAGAAACGTATTTTACAGACGTACACTACACTGCCATTAAGAGCAGCAAAGCAACTAGAAACTGTAAACACGATATAGCTTTAGTCCATGGTGTAGTTATTTTATAGGGTGTTAAGAAACACTTACATTTAATTACATTTTAATAAAAAATAATCTCATAATTTACCTCAGTATTTAAACTCATCAAACGTCCTCTTGCGTTGGTGTCACGTGCAGCCTGGAAATTGAAGGGTCACGTGCTGTGGTCAGCCTCTTCACAGCAGCTGCAGCATCAGAAACTCACCGGCGGAGGAACTGTCTCCGTGAAGGTAGGATGATTTATATAGCTACACTTTCTCGTTTAACCGAATTTAACAGCTTTAAAAAATAAAACGAGACAGGAAGTGAATACATTATGGTTAATGTTGCAGCGCAGTCCTTGAAACCGATTTAAGAAGTCATTAAGCAGCATTTATGTAACCCATGAGCCGGTGTAATACTGAGTATCCGGAATAAAATGTTATGATAGCGGATAGTAGCGATAACAACTGACAACGACACCCTTTGTGTCTAGTAAAAAATAAAACGGGCATTTACTACTGTGTAACATGTTGTCTATAGATGTTTTGTTAAATGTACCATTCCTAGCTGTCCCTAAACATAAGCATATTTTGTATAGCCTACCTGAACTGAAGACTGAAGATCTGTCCAGGTGAACAAATGGGACTATATTTTTGGAAATATGATTCACATTATGAGGTTGCTAACTTTTTATCATAGGTTTTACATTCAATGCATGACTGATGGTATTAAGGAGTTATCATGTGATTGCTTTTAAGAGCATTCTCTAAAAAAGTGATAAAGAGATAAGGATCCTGATTTGTATAATAGGCCTTTATATCAGTGCATTGTATTAGCCTATAGACTATCTCAATCCAGAGATGAAAGTCATTGTAAACTGAGGTTAAGGCTATTTTAACCGGTGCTTTTTCTTCCTTAAAGTGCACATCAAATCGAAGTAATTATAATACTTCACAGCTTTAGTTTCATTATTAACAGTTACAGTGTATGAGTCAAAACAATGTGACACAATGCTGGTCCAGACAGCACTGGCTGACTCAGTTACATTGGGACACTTGGGACACAGTGAGCAGGACAAACATGCTCTGACAGGGATATCTACATTGGTCCTAATCTTGTAAACAGGATTAACACGTCTTAAGGTCTTCCCAGAGTGCCCAGAGAGAGATCTGGTTGTGCTGGATGTGTCCTCATCGAGTACAGGGCATTTTGTATTGAAGCACAAAACAAAGCTTTAGGGGTTTGGTCATTGTTATTCTAATTGTGCTGTATGCATGAAGATGACTTGATTATTGTCTTAGTGAGAAGCTTAGTACATTTGATTCCTGTGAATGAAACTAAGACACAAGATATATATTTGTACCAGTTTTCATCAGCGGTTTTGGAATTAAACAAGTTGATTAATAGAAAAGTCTGTTACCATCACTTTTGTTTAAAAATATTTCAATATTTGTACTAATGTTTTTTTACTGGTTTCTCGTAGTTTTTCCCCCTCTAATAATACACTGAATTACTTATTTATGTTTTACTTTTTGTTGGACACACAAGCAATTTCATCATATCAAGGTGGATTATACAGAAGATCCAATTTTAAACTATTTTAGTCTTTTACATTTTAGAGACCAAGCAATTAATTGATCAATAATGTATAAAACTGAATCATGGAAAGTTTGGTAAGGACATCTAATTTTAGCAAATTGAAACCAGACAGACAAATGGCAGACTCATCTACATCTTCAGGCTTGAAGTGCTTCAGTAGAGGGTTCTACTGTAC